AAAAACACTAAATTACTTGGTTGTATGCCTCCGCCAACCAATCAAGTTATGGTTTACATCCATGTCTGTCCAGACTCATATGCAGCCATGACAGACAATACTTCAAATATGAATGTTGCTGCAAAGGGGTCCATGTCATTGGTCTGACAGCCCATTGGTCCGACATCCCATTAGTCCGACAGCCCGCAGTGCTGAACAGCTCCCGGCAGGCGTATTTTTACCTTGATGCGCTGCGACCAGCTCTGGGTCAGCTGGGAAAGGCTTGAGGTGAAGCAGGCTCACAGCTTATGTGTTTGTCACTTTATTTTTCATTTTAACCCACACCATGATCTTTTCCTAACCCTAACCAAGTGGTTTTTGTGCCTAAACCTAACCAGACCTTAACCACAGGGCATCATGATGATTTCGGAAAGGACTTCGGAACAATGGGTTTAATATGGTCGGAACAATGGGATGTCGGACCAATGGGCAGTTCCCGCTGCAAAGAAGCTTCTCATTATAAAATGTGGATGCTTTACACACATCTGCAACCCAGCCTGATGGAAGACCTACACAAAGTTTCAAGGTGGACATCCAAAATTAGAGTCACCAATTCCATATCTGAACAAATGTCTCTCCTTCTGTTCCTGAGTTATGATGTTGAATAATGGCCTAAAGTGTTTTTGCCTAACATCATTATGCTACAGTGAAGCTGACCTTTGATATTTTGGATATAAATTGTCATAAATTCATCATTTTATCCTATTAAAAGTTTGTTGTGAAATGTTGAGTAGCAGCATAAGCCAGGGGCTCTCAGACAGTCTTACCCCCCACAAAAAAAGTACTGGGTGGACAGGTTGAAAAGTTGTTGGCTACACTGCTAGCAACCAAGCTGAGCATGAGGCTATGGAAGCTATTCAAGCTAGCATCATTGCTGAGATAAAAGCAGTCCGTTTGGACATGAAAAAGAGTTTACCGAAACTATGGGACCACAAAAGATGGAACTTGCCGACTTCAGAGAAGAAGTTCGTCGCTGATTAAAAAGAAATGACTGACAGAGTCTGTGCATACAATGGCCGACCAAAGCTAAGGAGGTGTTGTCCCACACTCTGGAACTTCAAGAGGACTTTGTGGAATCCAGGTGGAGGTTTAGCTAAATTTGAGGACATTCCTGCAAGCTGTTCTTGAGATATTACGTTCATGAGAATGGGATAGATGATTGGACAGTTGGATGGGCAACCAGAAAACATAATGCCTCTGGCGCCGTCATGGAGGCAGAACAACCATTGGTTGTGAGAAATATGGTCTGTTATTACAACATTAAGCAAAAGTTGTAAAAAAAAAAAAAAAAAAAAAAAGTTGAATATTCTTTTATGATTACCCTGAGGTATTACTCAACACAGAGCGTGACAATGCCATGCTGCTGGAGAAGTCACTTTTGTAAATGGGAATAGGGGGCTTCCTGTGAGATGGAGTGTACAGAGAGACAGCTCTCTGCTGTGCTAAGGACTAGCTGACTGTGCCAGGCACGCTGAGACAATCAACTCCAGAACCATAACAGTGTGACGACTCTAAGATTAATACAGGCATCAGTGAGATGCATAAAAAAGACGGAGAGCATAGCAAGGCCATTTTTATATAAAACAGCCCATTTTTATGACTGTATTATCCAGCCTATAAGTTACCCATAGTGCTGGGTAAAGCTGGGAGCGTGTGATAGACATGGTGAGAGACATCCTCCATAATTGCCTTTTATGACTAAAAGGCCACATCATCACTTTACGGCTGCGTGAAACTTCCAGATTTTCTGGACCTCTCAAGCATTCAGACAATCAATGGGGAGCTGGCAGGACTGACCTCCATGGAATGCAATTTAATTCCCCGCTTCATATGCAACAAAGAGGGTAAACATGCATGTAAGTAACTCAAGCCAAAGTGTGTGTCACTGAGAATTTATGCCGATTTTTCATCATGCATGTGTATAATAAATCTTAACTGGTATGGAAATTACACACATGGCATTTGATTCGCCACCATCTGTTTTTTTTTTTCTTCCGAGGGGTTGGTGCTTAATCAGGCACAAAAACACATCAGCAGTGACACTTTGGACAGCAGTGGCTGGCTGAGGGAAAGTCTGTTTAGAGCCTATAAAAAGCCTCGTCAGATCCAAAATACAGAGTGTCAAGGGAGGACCACCAATGTGGCAATCTCATCTCCACAGCTGAGTGTGCCCGCAAAGCAATCACTCTGACTCACCTTCTATGTCTTACTCACACTCGCACGTGGGTGCATTTACTAGATAGACACAGGTACAGGGGGATATGAAGGTACATTAAGACAGAGGTTGACATCATAGAGCGGAACCTCTCTGTCACCTGAATCATCCCAGTGCAATTAGCAATCTTGTCCTTGTTAATTCACTAATTTGTGATTGCACCGTGCTCATCTATTTGTGTGAAGACATGCTACATAAACATCAATAGGATTAGGTTTCATTGATATTCATGAGCTAATGGGAGGCTGTATTAGTGTTATTTACACGACACTAAGCTGTCTGGCAGATAAGGTTTCTCAGGGCTATGGCAATCGGATTCAATTTCATGACCTGTGCAATGCCAGAGGGGGAAACAGCAAGCAGTGCAGCTATTATTGGATAACTGAGTTTCCAACTGCAAACATCATTTAAAAACATGATTGTTGTTCTCGCCGATAGAAAATGCTAAATGTGACAAACACTATTCTAAGGTGGAGCTGTGAATATTGATCCATGAACCTTAGCCAGAATGAGTTTGTCTGAAATAAATAACTCAACAGAAAAAGAAAAGCATTTATAAAACCCTATTGATTTTTGTCTTTTATTTGAAAAGCAGAACATGGGTGAAGGTGCACCAAGTCTTGCAAAAGTCTCAGCTTAAGATGACAAAGACTGGGGGGAAAAACTTGCATGACCAACCTTGCTATAACTATCGATCAGCTTTAGGAGGACAAACAAGGGCCCAAACAAAAAGCTAGAGTCTCCGATCTCTGGGTATCATTATGTCCAAGGGCCTTGGGAAAAGCCTACAGGTCAATACTGGTAGCAGCATAGGCGCTGTGGGGTAGGGCTGGCGACTTAATAAAGCAGACGTATTGTGTGTGAGCAGACGGGTCGATGTGACTCCCCCCAGACGCAATGCATTTTCACAGCGGGACAGGTTGCTGCACTGTGCAGAGTGGGCCTGGAGCAGAGGTCAACCTATTCACTTCATCAGCAGCAGAAACCAAAGAACAGTGGGAGAGATGGAGTGAACACAGTGAAAGAACATATTATCAACCCAGGGGACTCTGCTCACAGATATCTGGGAGCGCTCAGATTTTTGGAGGGGCTTTACATGCAGTTTGCTACGCATCTGTGGAGCAGGAGACAACACCTTGTATCTACAAGAGCTGGCACTTCACACATCTAAATATACACCTAAGGGATGCACTGATATATCAGCCGAACATCATCAGACGACATTTGCCTTGTTGACTGGCATCGGCTTATCCTCAAATAACATGACATTTGCTGACAGCATAGCCACTGTTCTTCTGTTGTGTCACACCAACTCTGTGTCAGGGGGCATGGTCACCCTGATACAACTGCTGCCTCACCCAGGCAAAATAATTGGAGCCAACATCACTCTTGTTAAGAGGCTGTGGCGTGGCCATTTTTTAAGCTAGCACAAAGGTAGTGGTATCTTGTCGAACTAGACAACCTAAGGCATCCTTTGGTACCAACCATGACAGCTTAGCTTGTCAGGAAGGGTGGTAAATAATGCACCAACATTTGATCCTTACAATCAATGTACTCCTTCAAATTAAAGCTGTATATTTGTCTTTTTAAGAGAAATGACAACTAGCCTATTTTTAAGAACGAAGAATCATCTAACACGTGAACATATACATATCACATGACTGTTGTGGAACTCCAAACGTCAACTGTACTAGTATTAGTCTACGTACAACAGAGAATTAGTAATTTTAACTGCGAAATAGGAAACCTAAGTTTATCAGTAAATGATTCCTGAACTCTCCATAAAGCCATATTTCCAAATAGCCTAAGAACGACAGCATAATGGAATCCCTGAAATTCTGTATGGCTTTTGGTTTTGGTGTGCCACTGCGATTCAGATTCAGTGGCCCAATTTGGCTAGCTCATGTAAAACTTTCTGAGGGTGCCGCTAGGGCTCAAGACTAACAGTGTCGAGATCTTCATTTGGATGCCCTCGGGGCGAAAGGATGCCGAGAACTCACTATCAAACAAATCAGGGGACGCACCCTATTGTTTCCCTGGTAATGCTATATGATGAACAAAGAATCTGTGTTGAAATTAGCAGAAGGAGGGCTAGTTAGCGTTAGCCATTAACAGCTAACGGAGATTGCTTTGACTTACTTAATGATGTGTTCAAGCTCTATTCAGTAAAAATGAGTATTGGGTAAAAATAAAGTGTTACCATGATGTGTTCAAATGTCACCTTGTGAAATTTAGTTTTGAAGCAGTTTTTTAAAAAGATGTTTTTCATGTGAAAGGAGGTTATTTAAAGGTTGTTTCATAAATGCACATGATTGATTTTATGCTCATTAAAAGGTAGAGTAATGAAGGGCTGAATGACTTTGGAAAAGTGTTTAGTTATTATTTGATTATGAAGCTTTCCTTGTTTCCCTGACACAAAAGGGGAAATAAATAACAACATAAACAAAATGAACTACAAGACAAAAAGATATTGATATCTGATCAGCCACATCGTTATTTTAAACATCGGTACTGGCCCAGAATCTCACAATCAGCGCATCTCTAACAGTATACTGTATTTGCTGTCTTGTACTTCTATCTTTTTTAGGAGCCTCATTAGGGTTGGGTACCGAAACTCGGTATTTTTTGTACTTGGTACCGATTCACGTTGGTACTACCAAGTACCGATTCACTTAAAATGAAACGGTGTTTTTGGTCGTCATTACATAGCATGTACAAGTAAACACACACACACTAGTCTATTTACCTTCTCATAGTAGCGCAGCTCATAGTCCAGGATGATGCCATTGGGCTGTTCTGGTTGTGGCCATGACAGTGTGAAGCTGTTCATGGTGGAGCTGATCTGGTGCATGATGGGAACGATGGAGGGAGCTATAGGACACAGAAAGAGAAACATAAAGTCAACACATTTCTAGAAAAATACTGATTATGACAAATATATCTCAATCCAAACAGTGAAAGCTCAGTCATAGCCACCAGGTGAGCGCACAACACACAGCCAGTTAATGTTAACCTAAAACACAAACATGTGGAACTGTGGCCTAATGAGGCCATGTTGGCTCTCTACTCTAGATTCAAAATAGTCAGCTATCGCACAACATCTTCATTATCTGCCTAATAATGCAACAATTCTATGACAGCTAATTACATCATGGTATATCATCCACACTAATAATTTCAAGAATGATGGTGCACATTTTAACAAAAGTGCACAGTTGCAAGACGTATCATCCAATGTGTGTACCTTGAACAAAGCACCATCAGTTATCAGTGCTCAGCAATCAGAATCCAAGTTTAAACAACTGCCACTCTCATCAGTACCCAGGTAGCCAGCTGAGTCAGGCCGATTAGAGCTTCACTCAGCCATATTCTGGCACTGCAGGACAAAATATGTGCCGACTTTGGCCAAAATAAGGCTGCCAGATCTGGCAAAGAATTAAGGGTGTGGACTTGGGCTGAGCGTCAGCTCCAGTTAGCAGGACTCCGGCTACCTTTGCGCCAGGATTGTCAGTCATCACGAGTCTGGCCTGAGTCCAGCTACCAATCGTGTTGGATTTAGTCTGCTGTTGGCTACTTGGGCATGATATAGGGGCACTAAATGTGGCATCCACAGGATGCATCGGATGCAGTAATTAAGTTCCCAAGCATTTTAAATTCTCAAAGGAGGCAGCTGAGCTACATTTTGCTTTTAAACAAAGGTCTACATATGGCTGCACTAAACAACATGATGTAATGCTGTTTAATATTGACCACCACTGTTTTTATTAAATTTGATTATGGCAGGAAAGAAAACAATTTCATTTGTTATGTCTATGAAATCTTGTCTGAATGTTAGTAATTCACTAATGTACTGTAAATGCATGATTAAAGTAAATCATGCAGCCATATAAAAAGCTTAACTGGGCTTTTGTGTTTCAGTAATACCATGACTGTACACAAGTAAATGCAGCTAGAAAGCACATCCATATGCAACTTTACGCTATAATGCACAGAACATCAGAAATCTATTAATCAGAACAGCATGTAGAAAGTCATATTTAATCGCTCTCATTCGGGAGCTGTTGAGAAAGACATTAGTTCAGGGATGTATGTTATAATGAAATGAAGAAATCTGACATGAAGGGAAGAGGTTTATCTGATCTGTCTATCTAGAAGTAACTTGACAAAAATGACACGAAATTGATTGTATTATAATTTGCGGTCTTAAAAGTAGACAGTAATTGCTGAGTTCAGTGGAAATGATGTCACGGTGAGGCACCAAATTGCTAAACAGTTGCAGGAAAACAATATGCTTGCATCCAATAAAACTGCCACTATGCAGGCACAAGCAGACTGCACTGGATCTTCAGCAAAACATGGCCCCTATGTTTCTATATTCTCTATAAATGAAAATGATACAAAATTATACATTCTCCGGCCCATACACGACACACACACACACACACACACAAAATAAAGAAATAAAAAATCAGTGTATGAACCATGTTATTCAGTAAACAAAGCCCTTTGGAATCAAATTGGTCCAGCATTGTGATCGTTTTGGCCCAGCTGCAAAGTCTATTCCCTTCAGCCCCAGTACACCTGAATGCACACACATAGGCTGTCAATTAACCCAGACACTCGGCAATTTCCTGCCCATTCCATCATTTTTGTCCTCTGCACTGACATCCCTACATCGTCCCTGTCCCTTGTTGCTATTCACATGCTGTTCAGACACTGAGTTATTGGACATGAAAAAGACATCATCCATAATAAAACTCTCTCTCTCTCTCTCTCTCTCTCTTTCTCTCTCTCTCTATATATATATATATATATATATGTGTGTGTGCATGAGCAGACTTGTATCTGTGTTTGTTTCTGTGTGTGGTTTCACATCTTTTTAAGTTCAGTTCGGCAGTAGTCCAGGAACAACTACCTGTTTTTGCTACAGGCATTAGAAAAGCCTAAGTTGCAAACACTGTACAGTATTGCCACGACCTACTGGAATACAATGTTTCCCAGGCAGTGCTGGAGGGGGCAACAAAACAGCCTTATATATTAATCATCAAGAAGTAATCGTACGCATTGCATTAACTCTCCAAGTTAAGGTCTTTCACTAGGTTCAGTGAGCACAATGCTGTGGCAGCACGAGCAATGCACTTGCGTTTTTAGGTTATTATTACAGCTAGTAATGCAGTCAGTTACCTCTGCTGAGTGACACTTTTTAAAACTAAAGTTCATTAAAACATACCTGTGTTCAACAATGGACCAGGGACACTTAAGTGGTCTTGCTGTCATCAGCATCAATGCAGAACTCGCTAAGAAACTGTCAGCTGTGTGCCTCTGTAGACCCTCCCCTGGTGGTGGTGTAATGGTGTGGGGGAGATTTTCTTGGCACACTTTGGGCCCCTTAGTACCAACTGAGCATGGTTTAAACACCACAGCCTACCTGAGTATTGTTGCTGACCGTGTCCATCCCTTTATGACCACAGTGTACCCATCTTCTGATGGCTACTTCCAGCAGGATAACGCACCATGTCACAAAGCTCAAATGATCTCAAACTGGTTTCTTTCACTGTACTCCAATGGCCTCCACAGTCACCAGATCTCAGTCCAATAGAGCACCTTTGGGATGTGGTGGAACGGGAGATTCTGACATGTGACATGTACTGTTATTGTATTGTTCTGTTTTTCTCATGTATAGCATTAAAAATTAAAAATGTTTCTTTGGCTTACTTTATTTAAAAAGATTGCCTGGTCCAACACGACCTGTATCTCTACCAGTGTTTTTTTCTATTCATCTGTTATCTACATGGACTACAGGTCTGAAACCGAATAAACTGAGCTGAAATGAAGCCTAATTTTCCATCAGAACAGGTGTCATGTGCCACTGCAGAGTCCATCCCTGTGTCTTTTTGCTGTGATACCTTGGCAGATTTCCTCACTGTTGACATTTAACAAATCAGCGGATATCTTGTCACTGCTGACAGTCGCGTCAAGGTAGTTCAATACCCTGGACGTTCTCCTCTGTGAGAAAAAAAGTACATTTCCTGGGTGCTGATATTCACTTTTTCTGCATCTATTTGTTATGATAATGGGTGTAATCTCAGGCAAACTGACAAGTTCCTAAATGTCACAGACAGTGCTGGCTTGGACAGCAGCAGGCGAGTGAGTTTCTTAAATCTGCACGGTTCAAATCATTATAGACTTCCCAGGAATCCTTTGGATGCCTGTTAATCAAGATACTGTAAAGGGGTTGGAAGTATTTTGTCTTTTTTATTCCTGTATTTATGCTAAACAAACCAATGTAGCTGCCGTAGGTCTAACTATAAGACAAGGAATCTCTATCTGTCTGTTTGTCTTTTGCATATCTCAAGAGCTGTTCATCCGATCTACTTCACACTTAGCGGGGCATATTGCTGCAGACCCAAGGATGTGCTGTGTCGAATTTGGTGCAACTTGGACACGAGACATATTAAACATTAATAATCTTTGAATAAAGACGCAAACAGCGCTCCATGCAGCAACCATAACGGGGCTTCAGGACTCTGCAGACAGGGTTCACTATTGCTGCTGGATGTCTGATAAACTAACATTGTAACCCAAATCTTCTTCACTTCCCTGGAGCCTCAGCAGATAGCTCACAGGAACAGTGCCCCTAAAAATCCTTCACTTTGCGTAGACTACAACACTGATACATTCTAGTCCAGTGGTTCCCGACTGGTCCAGCCACAGGGTCCAGATTTCTCCTTAGTCATTAGAGGTCCCACAGTGTAATACATTCAACGTCATACTTGCTTTTAGCCATGTCGCTGAGCTAGTTCGCTGTCTCTGTTAAGTAGCTGTCTGTTAGTCACTCACTCTACAGCAGGAAATGGCACTTCAAAATAAAACCTCTTAAAAAATAAAGTGTGCGTTTTATTTACAAACTTGACACGTTTGCGAATCACTTGCGGTCCATTCAGAATGGACCCGCAATCCACCAGTGAAGCACTGTTCTAGTCTATCAGATCATCTTAGGTAAATTTCCAACAGTCTAATCTTTGGTCACACAAATGGCTTCAGTTTGGTCCTGAAATGACCTGCAGGCCAAGCTCAAACTCAAAACCATTATTTCTTTAAATGATTTTAAACTTGGAATGGTCACAGCTATCTGCAGCTGAATTAATCAAAGAATAAATTCTGATTACATATTGTTGCCTTTTCATGTACTCTATTATGTAATATTTTTTGACATATCTGTTGTTCTTGTTGTGATTTGATGTTGTTGTTCTGTTTGTATTTGTGCTGCTATATGACTCTGTCCTGGCTAGAATTCACTTGCAAAAGACGTTTCAATCTCAATGTGACTTCCTAGGAGGCCCCGGGGCAGACCCAGAACACGGTGGAAGGAATACATATCTAATCTGGCCTGGGAACGCCTTGGGGTCCCCCAGAAGAAGCTGGAAAGCGTTGCTGAGGAGAGGGACGTCTGGGGTGCTTTGCTTGGCCTGCTGCCCCCACAACCCAGCTACAGATAAGCAGATGAAAATGGATGGATGGATGTTGGTGAGACAGCTACAAGGATATATCTTGGATAACGTAAGCTTGCCATGCTAGCTTCTAACAGTAATACTGTAACCACCAGCAAAATACCGTCACTAACCAAATCCATGCTCTTCTTTATAGCTGTAGTGGTTTTGTCAAAGCAAGTGACTGCTACGCCTATTTGGAAATTAAAACTCTGCCAAGGGTATTTTACTGGTGTTACAGCTGCGATCTTTAGTGTGTTTTTCAGGGGTGGATTTAGTGACGTGGGGGCCCCAGGCAAACACAGTCTTGCTTTACTTTTAACCCTTTATCTAACTGGGAATGATGGTTTTGGCAGTGGCAGTTTGTATGAGCAGTTCAGA